TGTTTAATGTCCGGAAACTGATCAGGTGATCCACCAGCCGCGGTGCCGCTCGTCAGTGTTTTTGCCGACTGAGAATTTTCATCAACTAAAAGTATATCGAACATGGTAGGAACCTATAAATGAGCAAAAAATAACAGCTGCAGAGGGATTATTCCTACCTGTGCTTGAAATGAATAAGGTAGTAGATTTTGTTCTGATTTCAAGTAATGTGATTTTATTAAGAATTACCAGGGGGGAGGTCGTTCTGTGTTTCAGCAACGAGAACTTTTGACTCCCCGTTCACCTCGTTCGATTCTGTCCTAGCAATGTTGACAGCCAGCTGACCATTAGTGGTTGCAAGACACAAACGCTTTCCCGAAGGTCTGCGATGCAAGAAAGCAGGAGCAGCTACCGGAGTCAGATCGTTTGCGGAAGAATCCAATGACGCAGAGGTGGAGAACTAAAGGAAACATTTAATCACATCCTAGTAATAGTGTCCCTGAGATTGTAAACTTAGAACAGGCGGAAAACATAGACTAAAAAGGAAGCATAGAGGACCGATTACACACGTTAAACCTTGTCCGTTTCCTGGGATTACCCGACCCAACTGAGTTTTTGTCCATCTGAAGTTTAGTTGTCAAAACCTCACAATCGCATTTTGTACAAAGAGACCGAGCCATACGCAAGCTCTTCAACTGACGCCCTAGACAAATGATTACAGATCAATAGAAAAATACGTAAGCCAAGTATTTCCAACTCCTTTCCTTCAATCATACAGCTGCACTTCTCTAGTTCTCTACAATGTGTAAAACGTGAATGAGGGCATACTTGACTAGATCCGCTTTTTCTGCGTTGACGCGACTCAAACCTGACTCAAAGTCTAAAGTAATTAAAAACATCAAGGCACATGCCTGAGCGGAGTCGATGAATTAGTTCACGTACATCTACAAGGGACAAGATAACAAAGTTAACAATGATCGGTAGGGAAAGGCGAAAATTTATGCATGTCTAGCACCATCAACAAAGATGCTAACGATATCATGTACAATAAGACAACTAACTGTTAATCAAGTTCGTGCATTCTTTCCAATGTCTTTGGCGAAGTTCGACAAGAGCAGACATGACAGATGTCTCAAAAGGTTGTAGGAGACCGTTAGTCTCAACCTCATCCCACTCCATTTTAACACACACAAACCTCCCGGCGGAACAAGACACAGCGCTGTTCCGATAAACTAAAACAATCTAAGGATAACTGAAGATTTGACTTAGAAAGTAGATTCTATAAAAGTTAGTTGCATTGAGGTTCCCGTAAACTGAATTAAATGCCTGTGTACTTACAAAAGTTTAATAATTATGTAATACTCTAAAAAATGCAATGCATTGCACGCATGTTAACGGTACAACGTATTGTTTAAGCTCATTAGACAAGCTGAAACGCAACTATAAAGGCTTTCATTTCAATAAATATTACTTTTAGGGTTAATATATGGCAGTTTATTGCAGATAGAAAACTCCTCGCTGCTAATCTCGCTGCCAGGGCATACCTACCTTAGCATGTCTACTCTAGATACCGAATAGTTCCTATTAGGCAGAACAAGACGCAAAACTGCGCTAACACCACGCATTCTTTTAGAGTTGGAGAGTATAAAACCTTGAGATGGCTCGAAGGCCAGTCCACGCACACAAGGACAAGTCGAATGCCAAAGCAACCGCCAGACACCAGGTGGTCATACAGGCAGCATTACGCTGTCCTCTCTTAGTTTGAGTCACCAACCTGGCGCTCCCTTGACACACGTTCCACGCCAGTCATCACACCATCTCCGGTGCTACAAGGAAACACCTAA